CTGACCTCTAATACACTATCATTGTTTATTTGGCAAAGCATAATTCAAATAAGCTTATAGGAGATTCTATTTCAGTAAATACATTCTAATTTGGAAGGGGTAAACATTGCCAATCTTTTGGAAGGAGTACCTCACTTTTTGGCCAAAATTTTTAAAAAATTCCAAAATAGCAAAAATATAGTAGAAGGTCTTTGGTTGCAGGTACTTTTAAAACTTCTAAGAAGTGTGTTAAAATTCAAAACTTTTGTTGTTTTCCCTAAATTCTTTTTCAAAGTAACAGCCTACAAGCTTTGTTAATAAAGTAGAAGCCTACTGTGAGATTTTTTCCTTTCACCAAGATTTTTTATACAAGGGCACCGCCTGCTAGTTATCTTGTATAATAATATTTCTGGCTTACATGCCAAATATCCTTTTAGAGGAGTCTCTAAAAAAAAAAAAGTTGACTTTTAAACAAACCATACTGTAAAGCTATATCTTTCTAACAAAAGTTTTGTTTTTTGTTAGTTAAAAATTTGGTACTAGTGATTGTCAGTGAGAGTTTTTATTTATTTTTTTAGTAAATATAGTATATATATATATATATATTTTTTTTAATATTAGAGTGTAGCACCTGCTCTAGATCTTTATTAATACTTAAGCAAGTTAATATATAATAGTGCCGAAATACATATATATTACATATTAAAATTAGGACTAGAGCTTTAGATCTAAAACTATTTATTTATAGCTAAACTCTACCAGAGCTATCAACACTCCTACATATGTGATTGATCTGGGTTTATACATTCCTCCCAACCACCAATTAGTATTCACATATCTGCTACTTTATTCACATTACCTAATATCTTAACTTCTAAATTAGTATATACTAGGTGGGTACTTATTGCTTCTAGTTTGGTATGTCCATTCCCAACTAGCATATTTCTAATAGTTCATATCTCAAGCTATGCAGCAGCTTCTACCAAATAAGTAAGTATTTTAAGCCTACATGCTGCTATAATTCGCTTATTTTCTGCAACTTTGGAACCAAGATCTTAATATTTTAAATTCAGAATTGTGCAAACAACTATATTTCCCAATATAATAACAAGGCTATACAAACATGTTTTGTATATACTTCTAGTATCTAATATGGTTGAATAGCATCATGAGGTCTAGGGATTCTTAACAGGTGTGTCATTATTTTTATTATAATAATTCTTAGCAATTATAGCCCCTGGTTACTACTATATTCACTACTAGCTATATCTATATTGTAGTCCTGAGTCCTCTTAATATTTAAAAACTCCTATATGTATATAATCAGAGCCTATTAAGTTTATTAACACGTATATGCCTCCATGCTTTAACTTCTTATTGGCTAGTAAGTTTTGTATGCGCTAGAGATGTTCCAAATCTGATAAAGCCAATTTTTTACTACAGGTCTCTTTGTATTCACCACATTTCTCATCACTTCTAATTCTGGTTACTACTCAGTCATTCTCCTAAACAAAATTCTCAATACTACCTTAGGGTTGTTGGTGCTACCTTGCCAATCACAGATTTATATACACAACCTTTGGTTATAGAACCTTCCATAATAATCATCTTTACACATAGTGCTAACTACTTTACAATGAACCTCCTTCTGGAAATTTCTAATCCAGACTTATATTCACTTGGACTTTCCACAATAGATACTTCCAAATATTCATAGATAAATATATTTACTAAGACTTAAACCCAAAACCTGCTTATAAAGAATTGAATATTTAGACCACTAGGTCATGAGATCCCAACCCCAAGAATATAGTTTTTTTTTTTTTTTTTAACTTTGGCAATCATGTCAATACTTTATTAAGTATAAAACTCACATATTTATTTTATATCTATTTCATGAGTGAGCTAACTTTAATACTGGGCTAAATATATTACTTCTAAAATTACAAGTATTGACTTATCTGGCTTTTTGTGACGAAAGTCTTCTATAACAAAAGTTCAAATTATCCATGTGTGATTTGCTATAGTAAAATTTTCTCTCAATACTAAACTCTCCTACTAACAAAGAAATCTAATAAGTCACTGAGTGGCATTTACGGTCATCATGATTGCCTTCTCTTTTTTGAACCCTAAATCTTCTTCTTCTAACTTCTTGAGTAGAAAGAAACACTTCTAACTACTCAATAAAAAAACTTCAAAATTAAAGTAAAAAAAGAAAAGTTTAAAACCAAAAAGGGGAAATATCTAAATGAATATCACAAAAAAACCACATAAAAACCCTACAAAGAAAAAAAAAAAAAGACAGAATAAAAAAAAAAAGAAACAAAAATAACAAAAGCACTATTATAACCCATGCCAGGTTAAAAAAATATTAAATATGTGATTTCGGGATAACATATATCTCATATGATACTAATAAAAGCATCTAAAACTAACTATAAACTCTTTCATGAATTAAATTCAATAATAAAAATCACCACATGTTCTACATGTGTTTGTTGTTTTCCTAATTCACCACATCGCAATAGCAACTTCTAAAAATAAAAGTGGTAAACAATGTTAATCATTTGGAGGAAGGTAGCCAAATCCCCAGATTTTTTCAAAAATTTTGTAAAAAAGATGCTAACAGAATAAAATCAAATGCAGAATAACCAAAGTTCTTAGAAAAAGTAGTGAAAAACTCATTTGTTGTCTATTTAGAAAGCCAGAACACCAAAACAACTTCATTGATGGACAAAAACCAAAATTGACATCAAAATTTTCAACACAAGGATGCCTCCAACTTGCTAGTTATTTTGTATATAAACACTTTTGACTTGTATGCCGAAAGTAAGCAAGAAGTCCCCTGAATAGAAAAGGTTGACCTTAGATATTTATTTACAAACTATTGTATAAAAAGTGTCTGCTTTTTCTACTATCTCCAACAAAATTTTTGTTTTTCATTAGCCAGAAAATTTGATACAGGTGATCGTTAGAAAGAGTTATAAGAATATAGTATATTTTTTTACTTTTAGGCAGCTTCACCAGTACTTTATTAAGATTCAAAATACATCTAAAATATATTCATTTACTCCTAATTTGCAAGTCTGACATCACCTAGCTTTCTTTAAAGATCCGACTATCTTATAGATGCCCAAGTGCAACCTACCACACTAATCTAAAATTTTATGATTAAAAGGCTTATGTTAAATTAGCCTAATTGCTACACCATAATGGCTTTCTCTCTCCTTCGAATTCCTTTAAATCGTAAGAAATTTACTAAGGGTAAGATAAGGAAAGGGAGGTAAAATAAAAAGCCAAGAAAACAAGTAATACAAAAAAAAGAAAAAAATAATTGATCAAAAGCAATGGATAGGAAAAACAAAAACTACATGATGAGCAAGAAAACTAGTCTAATGTAGAAAACCTAAATTAAAAAAAAGACTGAAAGACTAGAAAATACTCTTACTAAAAAACTTCGGGCCATTAAAGATACACTGTTATAGCTTGTGTCAAGCTTAATAAAAATTTTATAACAAATGCAACGTTTGTATATCTCTGTTGTAAAGCAAGAATATAGTATATTATAATACCTTCAAATATAAAAAACATAGTATTTTTTTAATAAATTTTGAGAATTTTACTAAAACACATCTATGGTGAATTTCACCTATGGTGATTTATACCTATGGTAATTTTTATAATTAATAAATACCACCTATGGTAATTTTTTCACCTATGGTGATTTTTACCTATAGTGATTTTTTTACCTATAGTGGTTTTCACCTATAGTGCAACAATCACATATTTAATTTATTAATACACATTAAAATTTTGCTAGAACACTACTATAATTTATATATATAAACAAGTACCGTATACTATAGTAAAAGTGATACAAATATGAAAATATATATATATTACATATACATATAAAAATACTTGTATATATATACATATATATATGCAATTGTAAAAATTAAGATAGTACGAACATAAAATTCTAACTTTAATATAGTAATACAATAAAAGCTATATACATATGTATATATACCGTATATTCCTGAAAATAAGCTACTCTGAAAATAAGCTACCCTCTCACTTTTGAGAAAAAAACTAAAAATCCTCTCTTATCTGAAAATAAGCTACCCCCAAAATTTTCAAAAATTTTTAACAGTTGTTATATATAAAAGTCAAAATTGTACTAAGTAAATATATATTTTTGACCATAATAGAAGTTGTTCAGAATTTAAAAATACATATATTCTAAAAGTTTCAAACAATTTGGATAACTTTTTATTAGTACACTTTTGCATTTTAAATTTGAATTTAAAGTGCAAAAGTGTACTAATAAAAAGTTATTCAAATTGTATAAAACTTTCAGAATATGTGTATTTTTAAATTATGAACAACTTTTATTAAGCTACTTTTACCAATTTACTTAGTAGTACAATTTTGATTTATATATATATAAACTACTTTTTCATATATAAAAACTACGTTTACTTAATAAAAAATAGACAAAAACTTCTATTACTCAAAAATAAGCTACTCTCGAAATTTTCGTGTAATTTTTTGCCCAAAAATGGTAGCTTATTTTCGGAAATATACGGTATATGTATGCACACAATAACCCAAATTCTAATTTCTTAAAAAGGTACTATTATATATTCTTTTATATAATTTGTAAACAGAAAAGTTATATATAGAGAATCCTTTTTTATCATCTTTTATTTAAAATTCCAATGCCAATAACATAATCAAATATGTATAAATAGACAGCCGCAAAATTTTATATATAGTTATCATTATACAATCATACACATGAATATCATATATACACTTTAGCATACAATCATTTGGGCTTTGCAAATATCAGATTGAATTGTTATAACATAATATACAATTACCTAGTATATACTATGTTTTAAAAGTTTTAGCTAACACTTGCAAAACCATAGTTATGGTAAGTTATAATACATATCACAACACATATAATGAATTGCAAATTGAAGCACAACTAATACAGAGATTAATTATGTTTAGTTGTTAGGGCACTTTGATCTATAATGATCATCTTTTTTACAATTTTCACATATATACACATGTTTTTTCTTGCCTAAAAATACATATTTATATTTTATATTAACAAAGATCTATTGAAAAAATATTTAAATAACAAACATAATACCATAATACCTTTCACAATTAATTGGGACATATCTTTATTATTTTCTACTATATTCAAACACATTCCTAATGTTATAAAATTAGAGATAATGCTTAACAGTAAAGTTAATAATGATTACACTTGCCTTGATCCAGCTCTTGTATATTGTTTTCATATTCTTGCTCTTGAATTGTTTGAACTTGTTCTTCAACATTACTAATACATGTACTAATTAATTTGCTACTAATATTAGAACTAATAGTTCTTATTATATTATCATCATGCTGTATATTAGTTTATCTATTAGTACTTTTTTTCATAAAGTATCGTTAAATACTATTATGTGTTTATGACACTTTCACTCTTTTTTTTGCACTCTCAATGGATTGCTAATTGATTTATAATTATTCTTATCATCTAACTGTAAAATTTGACCTTCTTGTTCTACAAGTTGCTTTTCCATTTCTTTTATAAATTGTTAGTGCAACTCATACAACTCTTCAGTATGCCCAGTTTTAATTGCTAAATTTAGCATTCTTTTCATTAAGCCAAAGCCTTTGCCAAAAAGAGTATGATTCTTTACATAATGCTGAATCTTGGGTGTAAAAACATATTTGTTGTAAAATTAAATCAATATAAGAAAAGTCAGGTTGGATCTTATATCAAATACATCAAACTCTTAACGATTGTGAATTAAGATTACATGCTCATTAAGTTCTTCATTTTTTTGTATTGCTTGATTATTAAACCAATATTTAGCAAGGATCCCAATATGAAATCATACTATATCACTTTCTAGTAAAATAGCAAAAAAATAGCAACATATAATACCATGATTCACTAGTGTTAAACATATATATAAGTGATTTGTATTACCAAAAAGAATTATAAAATAATGCTTCTGTTGATTTATATGTGATACTATCCAAAGCTCTTTAATATCATTAAGATCAATGCTATTGATAAGTTCTGTTAGCTTAATAAGTGTTTCATCATACAAATCCTTGCTAAAAACACCTTCTAATATGTTTTTTTTAAAAAAAAAAAAAAAAGTAAATAACTAACCAATACTACTAACTAATTAAGCTATATTAGCTAGAATCAAAAACTATACAAATAAAAGGACTTTAACTAATATAGTTTAATCTGTTAGAAGCCCTAAAATTACATTCAAACTCTAACTATATATAATATACTGTTTCAATATCATGATTTTGTTGCAATTTAGTTTTCAAACTTGCATGATAAGCTCTATAGTGTAGACACTAATCTATTTGATAATGCTATAATTTTTGCATTGTCAGCATAAGAAACTTTGCACAAACTTCATTTATTGCAATAAAATAATAATCTCTATATGATGCAAGCATAATTTGTGGTAGCTCTCTATTTGTCTCATTTAGTAATACCACCAAAATTGATTTTCAAAAAAGGCCTATTTTATCTCTATTAGAGCAAATTAAAATTTTTTATAAGAAAGAGCAAATAAAATTTATATATTTATACTCCTTATAATTTCATCTATTTAAAAAAAGTATCAAAAAATTTCGTCTTTTAAGTAAAATAGATCAAAAACAATTTTGTCTTCAAATTTTAATTTTGGGTTTTTGAACCCAAAATAATTTTGTTGGCATGTATAGTCTCATTTAACCTTACAAATTAAGACTCTCTTGTCAGATGCCATTTAACTAAACTTACTATTTCCATTAATGATGCTGATCTATTTAATAATCTCTTAATAATCGCATTATAACTCTTGACCCTTTGGGTTGATTATATACCACAGTTAAAAAATTGGCATATGAAGGCAAGAACCCACACATCTCAGTGAGAATAAAGCTAATGCTCCAAATAAGATTTTGCTTCTTGATATGAATCTAAAACTTTTTTCTAGTTGTGCTCAAACATAATTTCCATAGTACTGTTTTGTGCCTAACAAAAATCTGAAAAAAAGGTTTTAAAATTTTCTCTTTTGAACTTAGAAAGAAAATACTTTTCAAAGTTTTTCTTTATATGAAACAGACAGAAATGATGTTTTGTATTCTGTTACACATTTTCAATTGCACCTGTAATGGCCAGGTCTGCATCTGTATAAACAACTTTTGGTGCCAATCTCTTTATAAAAAAAAAAAAAAAAATTAATAGATAAAATAATAGTAATAATAATAAATCAACAAACTAACCTGTTACTTCAAGTAATTCTTTCAAAATCCATTCAAAAGTTATTTTTTGTTTGTCTATAATTAGAGCAGTCACAACAAGACATGATCGATTATGATTATCTATGCAAACTACATTAGCAAAATATATAACTGTAATCTTATATAAGATATTACAGCTTATAATATTACGCAAGAATTACGGTTTGGATATAATATTGCGCAATTTATTACGGAATATTACATAATTTATTATGGAATATTATACAATTTTTTTTTTTTTTTTAAGCGATCCTGTCTTTATTCATGTGAACTGTTATATAATTTTTACACCCGTGTGTACAAAATTCTTACAACTTATTGCTCTAACGTAATAAAGACTCACTAGGCATAAATACACAATGCGACCTGCTATAACAACTATTCGTCTACTCAGAGATTATGAACTTACTCATGATTTTGTATTCCAAAGGGTACCCCTCTCGATTACAGACTGGCCGTTGTATACCTTGTCAGGATTACCAACCTTTCTTCCAACTTTTTTCACCAGAATCCGGGCAGAATAACTATCTCTTACTTTTCTATAAGCAAGATCATATATACCACATTTATGAAAGACCAAAAACATTTAGGAGAATGAAAGGAAAATTAAAACCAAAAACTACAGAAAGAAACTATCCTAAATATAATTCCATCATAAATGAACCAGCAAAAAAAGTAAAAAAGAAAAGTTAGCGATCCTGATGAGAAAAAGAAAAAATACACTATTATAATCTGTGCCAGGCAAGTATAAAAATTATATGCTTATAGCAACACTGCATATCTCTATTGTAAGGCTTTGCCTATACTATTAATTCCTCTCTGACCTTACTATCTCTGGAAGTCTTTGCCCAGGTTCTTCTAATCAGGTACTGTTATCGTCCCACGCCAACTCTTCAGTTTCTAGCGGCCCCGAGCCAAAACCGGTAGCACCATGTCTACTTATCAGATACGTGATTGCTATCTACTACATCAACTGGATATGGGAATGTAAACACTATGTAACCTATGTCGATCGTTTGGAGGGGGTAAACCAAATCCCCACTTTTTGTCGAAATTTTTGGAAGACCGACAGGAAAGCAAGTAGAAGAAAAAAAGAGAACCACCTGGTCAAGTAAAAGAGTGCGGCTTGAAGAAAGGCAAATACTTGTTGTTTCTCCTGTGTTCCTCGTTTCAAAGTAACAGCCTAAGTGCTTCGTTGACGGAGAAGACTCCAGTCTCTCAACCAAGATTTTGTATCTAAGGGCACACACCTCCTGCCAGTTATCTTGTATACCAACGCTCTTGGCTTGCATGCCAAGTGCACAGCTTATAAAGGAGTCCTGGAAGAGAAAAACTATTAACCTCTAGGCAAACCACACGTTAGGCCATAACTCTCCAACAAGATTTTTGTTTTTCTTCAGTAGGAAATTCTGGTCCAGATGATCGTTGGGGAGAGATTAATTGAATATTACACAATTTATTATGAAATATTACACAATTTATTTAAAATTTGGCATACCTCTAATCATATAATCGATTAAATTCGGGTTTAATATCAATGACTTTCAATAATTTAACTACACCATGGTACACACTAATCACATAATTGTATAATTCGGTATTTTAACCAAAATTAATTTATTTGAATATTAATTATATCACCAGAACATTACATAAAAATTTTATTACAAATTATTGCCTTATTATCAAATAATCATTATTTATTATAAAATACTTTTATAACACTTTAACAATTATACTGGCTACATATAACAATACACACTCTATATACTACTAAATACAGCTTGTGTTGCTTCACTTACACTTAGCAACACCTATAATATAAGGCTTGGTTTGCTTACTCTTTGCTACAGCTATCACCTCTGCTTCGCTTCTTTTCCTAATCATTCAATAACCCCAATTTTCATCAATATTATTATGAATATTGAAAGCCCAGGATGAAAAAACTTAACAATAAAATTATGACAACGCACCAAAATCCACTACCAACAGGCGAATTACCAAATCATGACAACAGAGCCATGAATCTAACTAAAAACAAAAATAAAGCCACAAAACCAAACTCTCAGAGCCTCAAACACAAATCGATAAAAGCTAAAAAGAAGAAAGCTAATAGTTGGAGAGAAAAGAACATTAGCTAAATACATCTAAACAAGAAGCAAATAGAGCTATACTTCCAGAAAAGGCCCAGAGATGCCATTTATAATACTAGGAAAAAAAGAAAGATAACATTGTTTGAAAACTAGAACAAACTATTTAGATAACGAAATCTATGTGTTCACAGAGTGAACTACTGAATTATAACAACAAAGCCATGAAGCTAAAAACTTATCACTAAAAATGAAAACCAAATTATGACGAAGCCACAAAACCAAACTCTCAGTGCCTCAAACAGCAAATCAATAAAAGCTAAAAAGAAGAAAAATGATGAAGAGAAAAGAATGTTAGCAAAATGCAAACCAAAACAAGAAGCAAATAAAACTATACTTTTCAGAAAAGGCCAAGAGACACCACTTAACACTAAAAAATGCATTGGTGAAGTGGTTAAAAACTAGAGCAAAATATTTGGCAAATAAAATCTACACCAAAAAACAAGAACAAATAGTGAAAATCATATCCAGGATTCTCAACAAAAATAAATAGGCTAGAAAAGCCTATCTTAACAATGTTGTAAAGGACAAAGATAAAACTTAATGAAATCCATCAACAATGGCATAAAATGGCACAAAAGCAATGAATGAAAACTCTGTTGAAACAAATACATTTATAAAATCCACACCAACAATATCTCCAAGCTATGACGACACCAATGATGTCTTCAAGCTATGACAATACCAACGACATTTCCAAGCTATGAAGAAACCAACAACGTCTTCAAGCTACGATGACTGACACCAACGACATTTCTAAACAATAGCAACTCCCACAATAACTAAAACTAAAAGAAAATTAAAATAAGAAAAAAATATATATTAAAACAAAAAAAAAAGTGTATTAAAATAAATAAAAATAGTGATATGTAGTGTATTAATAATAAAAAAAAAAACTAATGATCATCAGTTGTACGTATAATTTAAGTATAATAATTAAAATGTAACATACGTAGTTTTAAAAATTATATATAACTATGATCAAAGGAAAAACAATGAACAATAAGTTGCTACACATAACTATTTGTATTATTTAAGTATCGTCATATATTAAATTAGATTGATTATAAAAAAAAAACTGTTATTTTATCTTCTATAATATGGCTTCAACTTCTTCATTATTCTTTTATTTCAAAGCTTTCAAAAAACCATTAATGATTATATAAACAATAGAAAAAATAAAAAACATATAATAAGTTGTTCAAAGTATAATCATTGCCTGGCTATTTTATAAAACCCAAATAAACATGAAAATTCAAATTTTAACGTTAAGTATTTATTTAAATTTAAACATAATTGTGATAGCAAATCGACATATTACTCAGAGCCATCAAATAGTTTATAATCTTAATAGAAAAACTAAAAATGGATAAACAAGCAACTCATACATATCAAGTTAAAAGCAAGTTTGAAATTTTTAGATACATAGTTTTCAGCAAAGAACTCTTAAATACTAATGAATTTCCTGAACTTGATGTAATTTCAATGGGCAAATTGTCTTTCTTTGGTTTGGTTGAGTTGTTTGATTAGGTTATTCTTGTTAGCTTCTAGGGCTAAAATTCTTTGTTTTTGTTGTTTATTTTTTTCTTTTAAGGTTTTGTTTTCAGATTGGAAATCTTGGAGGGATTTAAGGGTGTTGGTTAGTCTTTCTCTGCTTTCTTTCAATTCTTTTTTGTACTTATCTTTTAATTGCTGATAAGTTAGGATTTGGGTTTCAAGAGTGGTGATTTTATTTTTGCTAGTCTTTAATTGTTCTCAAGTTTGTTGTAGGGTGGTTTCACTATTTTTTAAGTTGATTTGGAGTTGTTGGATGGTTTGGTCTTTTTGCTAGTTGGCTATGATTTGGTTAGCCAGTTTTTCAGAGGTCTTCTTTACAAAATGCTAGTGTTCAACAAAACTTAACCCTATTAAAAATGAAACATCCGACCAAAAAACTGAACAAGGTTTAAATAAAAATGATGGCTATCATTGTAATAAAACAATTTGTGAAAGTAGGAGTTGTCTTGTCATAAGAAAAATCTCTTTGTACTTTTCGTTATGTTATATTTACTGAGATATATACAAAAATTATATAGCACTTAACAGTTGTTTAATTTTAATAATTATAATGGAAGCTAAATACAATAATTATTAATAAAAATAATTTGATTTGTGTTGAGAATTTTTTTTTTTTAATCGATAAAATCATACCAATACCGATTAAAATATAAAGTACTTTAATTTACAATTTCAAAGCTACATATATATATACATATGTCAATCGAAAATTTGAAAGTGATATTCAACAGTGATACTAGGTGGGTTTATATAGTGTGTTCAAGTCATGGGAGATTAGTTAGTGAATTATTTTGAAATTTTTTGCTTAATGTAAAAAAGCTATAATATTATACAAAATATTTTGAAATATTTCGAAATATCTTACGTAATATTCCATAATTTGATATTTTGCAATATTTTAAAATTTCCTATGTAATATTACGGCTATTTTACGGTTTGTAAATTATTACGAAATATTACGATCTTATAAATTTGCTGATGTACTACACACATTATCATATGGTTTTACAAGTTATATCAAGCAAGACAACATCATGAAAATGGCACCAAATGTTGATTTGTTTAGAATACAACCAAAGAAGCCCTACTAAATAATTATCACTTCCTTCAAATTTTGCATTAATATACCAACTAGGCTCTTCCTGTTTTCGGCATATTAATTTTTGATAAGTAGCTTCTGCATTACTTGTCTTTTACTTTGATTATTTGAATTATATTATAAACACTATATGCATGAATATATTGATCTGGATACTTGTGTACTAGTACATTAATAATTGCTCCTGTTTATATACTACTAGCAGCAAGTAGTTCAATATCACTTTGTATTTCTGGTATAAGTCGATAATATTGTGGTGCTGTCATTTGTATATTTTTACTCATTTGATGTGAGTGCTACCTGAAATATGTACTTGATTATTACTTTTCTATCTTTGAAAGTTAATGTAGTATTCATATCCATTATTGTCATGCGCTTTGTTTCTTTCTTCTAGAGTATGTGCTTTTTTTCATATTTCTTAATGATGCCCTTTAGAACAGTAGTAAACATGATATCTGAGCAGTCTATCACTTGTATCCAGCTCACTTTTAGCTAGTAAAAAAGCAAATCCTCATGCATGACCATAGTTAACAAGCCAACTTTTATTAGTTAATATTATGCTCTATTTGTACAAAATAATAAAAAAAAAATGCAACAACTTTGTTTTACTTACTTTTCAACATCTTTCCAATCCTTAAAGATTTGCTCTTTAGTTAAAGAGTATAAACTCTCTTCTGAATCAGCTATATTAGCCTTATTCTCTGAGTCCGTTAAGTTATAACTTTTCTCAGTTTGTAGTTAACCATCAGAGTTTAAAATATATTTGTCTTAACATTGCTAGTAAAACACAATTATGCTTTATTAAATTCTTTACTTTCCATTTTAGAGAGCTAGATCTATTAATAAGCTAGTATAGAATGATGGGTTATATAGAATAAAAGTTAACAAGATATTTAATAGATCAATCAATGGGTTATGTAGAATAAAAGTTAACAATGTTAATACAATCGATTAATAAAAGTTAACAAAGTTAATATGATCAATTACAGATTATGTGGAATACAAGTAAAAGTCGCATCATGTGTATAATGCATTAATTATATAATTAATAGATTATAGTGTTATACAGATAGGTAAAAATCATTATAAGTACATTTTATAATAATTGAATTTTGAAAGCTTATATTTTATTTTTTTTTAAAGTTTTTTTTCTTATTAGTAATTAGTTAATTTGCTAAGTAATTTATTTTAGTAAATTTTATAAATAAATAAGCTATTTATAAAAATTTTTATATAAACAACTCTTAAATGCATTATAATATTTCTCACTTTTCCTCTATTTCTTACTTTTTTTCTCTCTTCTTTATATTATATTTAGCAATAAAAATTTCTAATTATTAAATGAATAAATCTAACTATAACCAGTGGTGATCATTACTAGGATGTCTATCTCAAAAATGTACTAAGTAAATGAAATCAGATTTTCTAAGTAAAAATGTTCAGAACTCCCAAAAACTTTATAAAAACTGAGATTAGGCCTTTATAGTAGCTCTATATTATATTATATATAAAAAAAATAATTCTCTAATTTTAAATTCTAACCCTAAAAATAATTAGGAGTGGTGACAATTACCATGAGTTATTTTGATTATATTTCTTATTAAATATGGGTTGTTAATTATTAAAAATTAAAATTTTAATTAATAAGTTGCTAATAATTTAGTAATTTCTAAACTATTAATAAATGAATTATTTAATATATAAAAAACTAAAAATTAAAATTGGTTTAGTCTACTTTTTTTTTTTTTTTTTTTTTATAATTCGGCAGTCATGCCTTAGCTTTATTAGGCTTTGTACAATTCCTCTAGAATATGTAAAATTTTACAACTAGGCATTTTAAAAAGTAAGTGATAAACTCTAAACTTGTCAGCAGATAGCATATGAGAACTATCTCTAAACGACAAGTGCCATAGCCCACATTGTTATCTAAATTACAAGTTAAGACTAATCTGGTTACCAACTTGGCACTTATATTCGACCTGCTATAGCAAGATTTCCCTCCTTCTGAACCCTTCCTGAAATTGAATATGACCCGGCTTTCAACAGTGGACCTTGCCGCCCATTATGACTACCTCTTCCTTCTTTCAGACTTCTTCCATCTAAGCTCGACAACAAAATTAAAACCCTTATTCGTACATAAAAGTAAAAAAAATAAAGCCATGTTTATGAAAGACATAAACATTTTAGAAAAAAAAACACCTCATGGTAGGAAAAAAAAAACTTTCAACAAATTCTAAAATAGTCTAATATAACTGAACAAAGATGAAAAAAGCGAAAAAAAAGAAAGGTAGCCATGTCACACTATTATAGCCTGTGCCAGGCATAAGGATAAAAATTATATAATAATTGCAACTAATTACTATATCTTAGTTGTAAACCTTTGGTTTAGCTTTAGGACTCGTTTCGGGCACTGACTTGACTCGAGTATCTTCTAAACAGGAGTGGTGATCTCTTTATCATACCATAGCACTGTATTTGCAAAACAACAAAACACGTGGTTGCCTTCTACTAAGTTTATCCCAATTTGGTAGATGTAAACAATGCCGATATTTTGGAGGGGGTAAGCCAAAATGCCCACTTTTTATCGAAAAAATTTGGTAGAACCGGCACCAAACAACAAAGAGAAAAAGACCTCTTGATACCACTTAAAGGAAAGTGAGTTACTTGAAACAACAGAAAAAGACTTTCTTCAAGCCAAAACTACACTACTCATATTTTGTAGGTGAGTGATAAACTCTGAACTTGTTGG